TGTACTATTCCTCCAATTCAAGCCAAATGGGGAAAAGGAATAACATCCGACGTAGGAACCTGAATAAAACTAATAAAACATCAATTAACAAAAAAGAAAAATGGAGGAAGCATGATAATTACTCTCCAGGCTTCAGTTTTAATCGAATTATAACTCGCTCTCAAACAGCTTTTAAGCGCATTGAGAAATCGTATTCTAATCTGAAACTAGTATCAAGTTCCGCTTATTACAAACCACCAAATAAATCACACTTGATCATAGCTTTGAAAGGTTTGTATGGAAATTTTCCCCAAACGATTATAACCAGAAGTATAGGCCAAAAGTTATCGAAAACTGAAGCTTTGCGTGATGAGATTGAAGAATATAAAAAAATAGCCAACTTGGATCCAGATTTTGAAGGAACTTTAACAAAATTACACGTAGAGGATGAAAAGAAATCAGTTTTTCAAGAATTAGAGCGGTTAAAAACAACTGAAGAAGAGCTATTGGAAGAGAAAATGGAAATAGATGAGGATGAACCTGAAGAAGCAAAAGAGGCAGATGTCAAAACGGAAGAAAAAATTGATGAACCCGCAGATGCAAAGCAGATTGATGACAAAACTGAGAAAGAAACTGATCAATATATAACAGAGATAAAAGAAGAAGTGAAAGAAGAAGAAGTGAAAGAAGAAGAAGAGGAAGAGGGTGAACAAAAAACTTTCTTGCCATTTCTTGGAGCAGAATTGTAAAAAAAAAGTAACACAACCAGGGTATTAAAACACCAGTATAGTTCAATAAATTCTCATAAACAGCTAACACATCTATTATTATTTCCATATGACATTTATTCCAAATATATCCATTTTAAACAACACACTCGATATAACGACGCTCATTGTCCAGGCAAAAACGGACGTTATAACGAGAGGTCCTTATACCACGAAAAGTTCACTATCGATGTTTCAATTAACAATTAAAATATCATTGCGCCAATGGAATAACAAACGGTATTTTATACATCGATCGTTATAAGGAAAGGGTCGCTGTTATGGGAGTCGTTCTGAGGAATGTATTCTATTACAATTTTGATAATACACAGCCATTATAATGAAAATGCAAAAGACTGATCCTGAAGTCAAAATTGAGGTTCTTTTCTACGGGAGGGTAAAAATCTGGCAGAAAATAGAGGCTCATATTTAAGATTTTGAAGTTGCCTCCGTCCCATTTCTTGTATGTGAGTGAGAATAGGGCCGAGTAGGAATTACCTCGCAGTTTTTTTGGTAGTTTCGAAATCCAAGCTAGCTTCGTTTGATCATTAGATCAAGATTTGCTTTAGCCTAGCTTTGTATGATTTGGGACACATTTTTAAAATAAAATTTTTAAATTATGCAATACGTTGTACATGATTTGAAACCTCTGATTTACATAATTCAGCGTTACCTCATGGAAAATTTGCCATATGGTAACCATATAAATCTGTATGAGATTTATAAGGCAAGACACCATAAGCCTATTGTTATCATAGAAATTAGCATGGCATTCATATGGCAGGACACCATAAATTTATGGTTAGCGTAGAAATTTGTATGGCATTGTATGACGGGACACCATAACCTAATGGTATGCTTAATGTGAGGTTCCATAGACATATGACAAACTAATGAAAATACGCCATACATTAGCGTCATTCATAGGGACGGGTGGACGTGCTTTGCTCCAGCTCCGATAATCCAGCTCAGTTCTGTATTAATTAAACTAATTCATGAAAACCAATAGTACTTTTCAATAAAGCTCGCTCACCTTACAGAAATTTATAGTTATTTAAATTTATTGATTATTTTAATACAAAAACAGCATTTCAGCTTCTAAAATTTCCATTGCCATGAAGTCCATGCCAAGGTTAGAGTAACGCTGACGCCGATACCAAGATACAACCAAGCCAAAGAAACATTGATTTTTTTAATGATAATTTTCGTATTTCGCCATTTTTTTTCCTTCGGGTTTGTGACTTTCATACTTTTTGAAATTAATCAATATCCTATTAATTTCAGCAACGTTTTTCTGAATTTTTAAACGTAGTCAGTTTTATAAAATCCGAACAACTTGGTTTCGGACTGGAATGATTTTCGAATAATCTAGAACCAATTTAGCTCTCGCTGTTACAACAGTGTTGTGCGAATTCTGCTTTTATCAAATATTATGTTTCGTGCCTTTCTTCGATATTGTGCTCAACCTTTGATGTTTTGATTGATTTTGGATTAATGAGTTGCTGAGAAACAGACACAATAGAGAAGTATTGAAATGCATATAAATTAAAGTATTATTGAATATTAATTTACATTAAATTATACATTGATTTATGTGCATTTTTAAGCGTCTTGGAATTACATTTAAAATAAACTTATAAAGTTTCCCTAAATACATAATTCTAAAATCCAGTATTTTTAGACAGTTTTTTCATTCTATACTGATATATAAAAACCAAAAAACAGTATCAATGTTATTAAAAAAAAATGAAAGTAGTATTCCAGTGCTAAAACAAAATTCAGGCTAAATCAATGATCTACGGGATTCAATATAAGTAGCACATAAATGGTAATAAAAGAAACTAGTGGGCTGCTCCCCCTGCTCGCTAACGCTCGCCAACCCCCGAAAATTTCTACGCAATCTCATATGGTTTGCTTCGCAAGCCAAGCTCGCTTCACTCGCTACTAACTTAGGTACATTGCAAATGCACAAAATTCTAAGAATTCAAAACAATCATTCAAATCCATATAACAACTGTTTTTTAAAAAGAAATTACACCTTTTTAGTAAATACTAAGTCATTAAAATAAATTTGAATTCAAATAAATGACATGTAATTCGTTAAATCTATTAGAAATGTGCTATAGTATAAAATCTTATGATAAAATTTCTAAAACTGATATCTCTTTAAAAAGGTTAAAATTTTGGCTATAATTAAGTTTATTAAAAATTGAAATAAGTGAATTGCAATGGAAAAACCTGCATAAACAAATAAATTCTAGTAAAATAAATAAATTCGTAGTATATAAATTTGTGAAAAAAAGCGCTTTCGATAAAATACTAAAATAGAGATTTATCGACAAAGACTACTCACTTCTGCCCAGCTTATGCTCTCTCTGGTTATTTCAGTTTCCGTTTTTAAAAGCGCTATATGTTGAGCCATCTCAGCTAGATTTGGCATGTGACATTTTTAGCGGCAATCATTGGTTGATTTTCTAGCGTTGCCATTCGGAGAGTTGTAATGAGGCTTTTTTTGTCGCCGTGTAAGAGAAATATATATATAGATTCAAATTATTTTAAAATTTATCTATAGATGCCTTTCAGTTTGTGATGATTTCTTAGCTCTTAATTAATACCAATTCGTTAATTATGATATTTTTTTCTCCGAACAAAGAAAACGTTTTTACAGATTCCACAGTCATTAAGCTTTCTACAGAGGCAAAGAATACTTTGGTCAAAAAAATTATGTTACTACATAAAGAGACAGCTTGGAAGTTTTAGTCCAGTAACTTCAATTCCAAGCAAGCTTCCTAAGTAAAAAGTTTTTTCCTCTTCTGTTTGTTGAAAACAAGAAATGCATTCCTCCATTTCTATATTTTACTCAGACCGGAACAATAGACAAAACTCGTTTTAGATTTGAGAATTTTGATTTTTTTTTTTTTTACCACGAATAGATATTTACGAATTTCACTCTTAAGATAGATTACAAAAACATTGAGTGTTGAGAATATTAGGTAATGACAATTAATTAAAAAAAACTTCCATGTAGGGAATTCCGCGCAATTGTACAGCAGGAAATGGCCCACATATTCTTGCCCGGTTATTATCACAGTCAATTCGATTATTATTAATAATAACCACGTATTTTGATAATAGATGAATAGTAATCAAATTGCCCGATTTACATTTGCCCAGTATTTCCTACACTAGAATGTTTTTTAAAGCTAAAGGCCATAATCTGGTATACAGTACACCGTCATTTATCATAATTTTTTCTAAATGTAAAATCTCCGGGTTGAAAAAATCACAATAATAATAATAATAATAATAATAGTTTTTGAATTTTTTAAAATTCTGAAAACAAAAATAACTTTGCTTTGCTGTCTTTGTCTCAAACTTTTTTGTATACACAGAAAACTAAAATATATTTTGTCTGCTGTCTCTATCTCAGACTTTTTGCAAATTCTGAAAATAAAAATAAATTCTATCTGCTGCTTCTGTCTCGGAAAAAGTACCCTCCACAAACTGGAAATTAAAAAAATTTTTAAAGTACACTTTTGTAAGGAGGCCGCTAAAAAATTTAAAGATTATTCTAAAATTTTGATTTCAAGATGCCGCCTTATGTGATGGTTAAGTTTCTTTGACCAATCAGAACTTTCTGACCTTGTATGAAGCTGGATGCTTAAGTGTAGAAAAACAGATATTCATCTACTTAAATATATAATCACTAAAAATTTCGAAATCAGCGATGCCATTTGATAAGGTCTGTATTATTATCCTGTCTGTATTATTATGCTTAAGCCTGTCTTATTGTAGAACACCAAACTTAATAGATTCTTTTAACTATCTATGATTGCCAAAAAACAAAAGTAAAAAGCAAGCAAAAGCACAAGTAGATAAGTATCTGTCGTATTAACAAAACATTAATTAGGAATTATTGTATTGTGATGATTTTATAGATTTAAATCAATTTAATACACTAACATGAATTTAGTTTATAATTCCGCAATTCAATGAATTATAAAAAAGATCTTTTTATATAGTTATCATAAGAACTGAATATTTATCGTATTGGAAAACGAATGCCATTGCATTTTTCCTTTACTAAAGTTCTCCGATATCTTAATAGATTTAAATATTTGTTATAATATAATGAGTTTGTATGATTCAGCTATTGGTGGTATTTTAACAGCCTTTTAAAAACTGTACACCATTATTTATTTTTTAATAAACTTATATAATGGAATTCTCTCGAGTATTTTGGAATATTTATTGATGCCCGAATCGCCGCCACGTTTTTGGAATTGGAAATCATCATTCACGGTAGATTCGGCACATTGTCAAAGTTTTCAGGACATTGCTACAAAACCAGCGTGTGTCAGGTATTTATTTATGAAAGAAGATCCGGAACTGTATCAAATCGCTAAATCTCTCCCAGATTCAAGTAGATGGCTATACCTCTTAGTAATAAAAAGCTGCCAGAACCTAGCACCGATCCTATTTGAATTAAATCTGTACTTCATGTTATTCATTTCAGCAATAATGACTTTGATGTTTGTCGCAAAAATCTTCCATGTATTCCACTTCAGCCAAATATGGCTTCAAGTCAGAAAAATTTATCGCCAGATAATTTCTACAGCGAGAAATCATCAAAGAAAAATACTTATGACTTATACTTCAATAGCTGCGATTGTTTTCGTGTCAATTTTAATGTGTCTTTTGACTGAGAAAGAAAAAAATAACTTAATGGCGTCTTGCAGATCACCTATATGCCTATATTGTAGCCCACGGTTATGGAATACTATTTTTAAGAATTATGAATCTGCAAACGAGATGACCAAAAGGAAAGTTGAAAAATTCGAAGGAGCAATCTTTTACATTAGATCGACAACTAAAACGTATGGCTGGTGGTTTAACAAGCACGTAGAGACTACTACGGAATATGGGTTGTTTGATGAATTGATTCCTCTATCAGACTTTCTTTTTTCTATGGCAAAATATTTAGTTATTTTAGAACTAACATGCCTTATTTATGCTTGTTCAACACTTTTTATTTGTATGTTTCTTTATTTGCTTATTGACGCTTGGATCTATTTAATTAATTTCGTTAACCAACTAATCCAGAATAATCATTGACTAACTCAAGCTGTTCATTGTTAATGAAATTTACATTTAGTATATGTTGTACCTGAAAATTCTAAATTAGTGTTAAAATGCTTGTAAAGTTTTATTTTTACAATAACTTGAACCTCTTGCTCTTTTCCATTTAATCTATTTTTCCCTCGACAAGCACAACCCCCAAATATAAGGTCTCCTTGTTTTTGGAAACACGAATATTTATTAATTAGTTTAAGTTTGCAATCAGATGCCACTCTCGTTTTTTTGTGATTTTTTATATTCTTACTGAAAACAGGGAAAATAATTTAAGAGTGAGATTCTTGAAAATTTCCCAAAAATTTCAGACAACTAGGATAAAGAGAGAGGTACTTCATCTCAAGATAAAAAGACCAAGCTAGAGTGACTTGGCTGTGAAGGAATGGAAAGAATCAAAGGAATGTTGCCCGATGCAAATTGGTAAGCAAAACAATAAAAAGCATATCTCAGGCCAGTCAAAACACATGAAATTTAGCATCATTCACGAATATTTATCACGAAGATATTTTTAGAAAATCAATGCAAGTTGTATTATATACACATTGTATCTAAGAGTATATGTTCAATTATTTATCTCTACGTAAGTTAAGTTCACTTTTTAATCAACATCGAGAAATAACAAATAAAAAATTTGAATTTTTGCTTTTATTAAAAATATTTTTAGAAAAACATTTTCAAATCTTCAAAAAAAAAAGTCTCAAGAAGTATTACAGCTACCAGCTTCTTAATGGACTTTAATTGTGGATAATTTAATTGAGTAAAAATAAGCAGTTAACATCTTGTAACACTAATAATGTTTTAGGAAAATTTTGGAAAACACAAGAAAAGTTCCAAAATTTTATAGTGAATTTTTCAAGATGGCGGGGCACACGGTGGTGAATGGGAAAACATGAATTTTCAATCACTGCAACAACCACGGCGATAGGTCAAAAAATTGAAACTATCCTAATTATGGTAACTATTCATGATAATTTGACTTGACTAACAGTTTAATGGATTTCTAAGAGAGTTGGAGACCATATATTTGATTCATTTCGAATATTAGACCTTGTATATAAGAAAAAATAAATCCCGTATAAATATTAAGAAAAATTTCGTATAGAAATAAAAATTATTGACTTTTATAAATATATATTTTTTATTTATTTTAATGGCCAAAGCTCAAAACAAGCTCTTTTTTTTCTATTTTCGTTTTGTATTAAAATTAGACTTTTCCTTATTTTCATAGTGTCAGTTGCCTTCCTTTCCGTTTAAATCACTGATGTTTTATAAGTGGCTATCGTAATTGATTACCTAGGCTATTTTATATTTTTATATTAATAAAATAAAGTTACTAAACCCACAATGCGCTAAAAATCCTTAAAGAGCCACAAAACGTTCTGTTCCGGAGTTTAAGAATCCTCAAATTAGACATTAGTAATGATTAAAAATATGGGTGTTTAACACACTTCTGATGTATTCTAATCATGCAGGGGGAAATTTTTTAAAAATTGGAAAATATTTATCTATCTAAAATACTTTAGATATAGAATATACTATCAGACAAATGTCAGATCAATTTTCTGTTTGTTTATCTGTAATTATTTTTCTTTTATTTTCCATATCTTTTTATTCTTTCCAAATCTCAGCGGTTACTATTAAATATAACTAATGTATGAAAAGTATATATAAAAAAATATTTAATTAATCGGTTTTTTTTCGTTCCTTTAGTACAAAATAGTTTTAAACCCGCAAGAATATTGATCCCACACTTTCTACTGCGAATTTAAATCTAGTACTTAAACTGTCTAATTAAATAAATAAATACTACTCAAAAATTCCGAATGTTGCTTTCGTTAATGGCTAAATAAACATACTTAACATTCACAAGCGTAAACGAGTTATGTTTCTATGGCATCCTAACAATTCTATACACGCAAAATTCATCATCTAAAACTTATTTGAACAGTATATTCACTGCTCCAATTTCCTCAATCTTTTCCATGCTCAAAATCTTCGCAGTGTTAAATAGCTATGAAAATGTATTTAAAATGAAACTTTTTACTCATTTAAAATGTTCAGTATGAACTTGAATGTGAGATCTTATTTGAATGGTATTTTTGCATTTTCTTTTGTTTTATTTACGGTAAGTATACTTATTATAAACTTTAAAAAAACATTAAATTAAAAAAAAACATTAAGTTTAACGGAGAAAAATGCAATAACTAGTTTAATGCACTTTTAAAACTTAATTGGTTTTAGATACTTGATGGTTTAAATGAATCAAGCGTTTTAACGCAGAAATAGTTGATATCCATTTAATTTATTAAATATTTAAATTTGTTAATTTTGCCCAACTCCATGTTAAAATAATGTCATTGATTTCCTAAAAAAATTGGGAAAAATATAATAATTGGTTGTGTAATAATTCCGACAATTTTAAACTAATTTTTTTCTTCTTCGAATTTGCAGCTTACCTCTATTAGGAATGAAAGTAAGTTACTTTGCTATCATTATATATTTTGAACATGTTTATTAGATATTATTCTTTATATTAATATAAAATTATCTAGCTATAATTTCGGTAGTTCCTGCTAACAATTTTTATTTATTTATATAAAAATATTTTTTATTCGTAAATAACTATTGTGTTATTATTTACATAGTTTTTAATAGTGAAATTAGGCCTCTTACATAATATTATTCGGTACTTGTTGGTGGACCGTGCGCAAAAATGTCAGGTATTTTTTTCTTTTTATTTCCTTAAATTTTACTTAATTTCTTTTTATGTCGTTTATTTTTTTTATTTTAATCATTTTTTTGTGTTTAAGAAATAAATAAAATAAAAACAATTTGGTGGAGATCTATTTTTATAGGCGATATTCCGCACCTGGCTAAACGAAGAATCCTTGTTATTCATTTTGTATTTAATAATTATCTTATTTTCCCATTTGTATTTTTTCCCTATTTGTAAAATATTTACTAAATAACTCAATTGGTTTAACCATTCAAACGAATTTGCGATCGGGGCGAAATCCCGATGGATGAAATTATGATAATCTTCATGGCTGGAATTCTTATAAAATTTTATTCTTTTGAAATATCCTTGTAGGGAACATCGATCCATGAATTTTAAGAGAAAATAAGATTAGTGTTGGTAATATCGGGCAAATGCATGCTGGACAATCATTTCCAACTTACGATGTTAACCATTGTGAGTAAGATGCTTCCATCTTTAATATTTTTCACAAATTATGTGATATTATTTTCGGAAATATTTCTAAGGAATATTACGCATTATAGAATATTAGCGGTTTCATTCGCTGTTGTTTCTAAGTTACGGTTTCGCCATACTGTGATTTTGACTGGATTCAACGCACCAGTTTCATTAGATAAACGAATTGTTTTTTGATGATTTTAATTTCACCCTTACTTTAAAGAAGCTCGACAAGGATTCGTCAACGAATGCTATTTGTAATTTAATAAGTAGTCTTGAAGACATTTTTAAGAGGTAGATAAAAAGTCGATTATGTTAATCTGCAATTTATATGAATTCTTAAAATTGAAAATAATAGTAATATATCTTTCTCAGTAATAAATGCAGATGAGAAGAAATATTAATTTTGTTTGTATATGGGATAAAATCTAAAATGGATAACTTTTCTGCTGATATCAATTTTCAGCATTTGAATTTAGTTTATGAAACAAACTAAAACCGAGGCGCACAGATCACCTGTAATCAGACATTTTTAGATTTCCAGAAAGCAAATAAATATATAAACCTAAGAAATATATAAAACTAAGAAATATATAAAACAAGGGGCCTAAATTTAATGTAATATATATAATATATAATATAATTATAAAATAAACAGAAATATTTTTTAAAAAAAAGTGATTTTCATATTTGTTCTTTAAAGTTCTGCTTCGTGCTGTTAAATATTTTCTTTGAATATTATCGCGAGTAAAATGTTCATACTCTTATTTCACCTTTGAACATTTTCCTTAAGTTAAATTATATCTATCTTAAAAGCTTCCAAATGTGATGAATGCAATCGTAATTGCTTACTTTGGGTGTCCAGTGGTCATCACCCTTAATAAATATTTACAGAATCCTTGCGAAAAATGAAATTTTAAAAACATACGCGACATTAGGGGTTGCAAATTATCCTTAAAGCAAGATGAAATTTTTTTTAAAAAAAATCAGAGAAATCACTATTGAAGAAGGCGAAATTTAAAACATCGAAACTTGTATGGTTGGCAGAAAAAACTGAGAGATGGTTCAAGCAAATTATTGAAAGCACCTTTAAATTTCATCAGTCATCAGTTTAATTTGTTTGCCATACTTTTAATCCCGTCTCATCAATAGTGATTCATCAGATTTTTTTGTCTTTTATTTTTTGCTACAGTTTTAATATGAAATTTCTTGTCCGTATGTGTTTTTTATTTGGATTTTATTTTTCAAAAAGATTTTAAAAATTCATTTTAAGAGCTGCGATTAAGGAACATTTAGCATAATGAAAACAACACAATATAAATTCAATTCGAGTCGAGTTGACTGTTTTCATTAAAATTTTTACTATGTATGTATTCTTATCGGAAAATTCTACGCAAACTCATGTTTCCTAGAAGTTTAAGTAATACATTTCAATCCACCAAACAAATATTTTCAAACAAAATTAGCAATTTTAGCTTCATTTTTATCGAAAAAGATGAGCTACTTTGCTATTTATTTTGCAACCACTACAGTAACAAAATCTGTTTTAGAAGTTAATGCATCGTGTCGGACTTCAAAATATCAACTGCGAGATATTTTCCCCAACTTTTATGATATAGTTTAGAATCATCACCTCTTAGCAATTTTTTGCACTATGGTAATGCTGCTTTTGAAGTTATCATTTATGCGAAATATTCTTCCTCACTTTCATAATATGACTAAGAATCGTAGCAATTTTTGTTATTTTTATATCGAACAAGATTAGTTATTTTACTACTTATTTTACTACCATTGCAGTGACAAAATCTATTTTCGAAATTCGTGAATTCCATCTGACTTTGGTAATGATATTCTAGAAGTTATCAATTGCGAAATATTCTTCCCAACTTTTACAATATAGTTCAGAATCGTCATCTCTTTCACAATTGTCGCCACGAGGTAGCTATTCGATTTCTTTGAATTGCGATTCTAAAAGCTATTGGCCAATCGATATCTGTCCTACTCATCTACAAAAGCTATTCAAATATATAGCGCTATCTCGGAAATATATCCCAGTTATTATTCAATGTTAAATAATAAACTTAGATATAATAATTTATAAAAAGTGTCCAGGGACGGGTTCTAAGCTTTTAAGAACTTGATTTAATTCATTTCATTTAAAAATTCGTGAATCTGGTTCACGAATTAGGGAATTCTTAGCATCTTTTATGAAGTATTATCTAAGAAATTGATACCAATCTTTGGTTGTGCCACCAAAACTTTTCTAAAGCCGTCACGTGGTCGTCAAACTCTGCCTTAGTAGTTGGAACATATTCTTAAATTTCAGAAGCTCAAGTTAGCACAACCTAGAAAAATTAGCTCACGTGTTAATTTTCATGTAATGCAAATTGTTTTTTAGCTTTTTTTAAGAGCTCTAGAATCTAGTTCACAATTCAAAGAAATTCATAGAGAACAACAACACCACTTTGCCAATGATTGTGCAATCTCCAACATCTCTTATACAGCCAGAGAAGCAGACAAATTTTGCTTTTGTAATTAAGCAAATCGTCGGCGAACTTTTTATTCTGAACATCGCTCAAAAGGCGTGTTTAAGAAAACAAATTCAGCTATTTGGGAAAATAGGCGCAATTCAAAACGCATGTTTAAGAAAATGCATGAAGCTGGAAATTCGTGTTTAATAATAAATGAACACATTTATTTAAGAAAATGGACACAGCTTTAAATGTGAGTTTACGAAAATGCAGACATCTCGAAATACGTGTTTAATAACAGGGAGAGCCCTCGAAATGCGTGTTCACGGAAATAGGTACGGCTATTTAACAAAATGGGCACAACTCAAAAAGCATGTTTAAGAAAACGCATTTTTGAAAATTGTTCTTTTTTTCCAAAAGAATAAACTAATGGATTTAAATACATTTAAAATGTTATATCTTCTATTCGCATAAATTACTTAATATTTATATTTTTTCAAATAGTCTCTTTGAAAAAATATTAAAATTAAGCTAGTTCTCTTAACACAAGGTTGTCACGGTTCCTATCAATTTATAATAGTGGTGTGAAATTGATGTGGTGCGACTTTGTGTTTTTTAACTTTCATCTGTAATATACCTATCCACCTAACACCCCGTAGTTCGGGATTTCCTATCGTAATAGTTATACTTTTATACTTAACGTTTAAAAATGAAAGGAAAAGTAAGTGCGAAATTCTTCATTTAAGTGTTAAATTAGGGTTGAAAATTAAGTGTGAGTACTTTTAGCTGTGCCTCTTTTCTTACACACGCATTTTTAGTTGCGTTTATTTTCCTAAATGCGCATTTTTTGTTGTGTCCAATTTTTATTCACGCATTTTGAGGTCTGTTCATTTTCTTAAACACGCATTTCGAGCTGCGTTTAGAATAAAATGCTCACAGGCAAATTGTTCCCAAGAAGAGAAGATATTTAAGTTTCCAAAAGCTAGATTTAACTTAATTCAACATTCGAACTGAAATTTACAATAAATGAAATAAATAGCCGCGATGTCTCAGGGGATAGAGCGTTCGCCTTCCTATGCGGCGAACCGGGTTCGAATCTCAGTCGATACGAATTCCGCATCCAGCTTGCACCTACCACAGTGCTGACGTGAAATATCCTCAGTGGTAGACGGATCATGGGTTAGAGTCCCCTTGCGTGAGGCTAACCGTAGGAGGTTCTGGTGGTCTTCTTCTTTATGAAAAGCAAATGCGGGTTAGCTCCATCAAAAAATCTTCCACGAAGGCAAATTTCTCCCAATACTCGATCCAAGAGTTTCCAAGTCTTCTGGATTGGGTTCAAAATTACAAGGCTACGGCGTTGAACAGTAGTAGTCGTAAACCCATAAATTTGGGTCGACTGTTCAACGACGATTATAAAATATGAAATATAAAATAAATTAAATTACGCTTGCATTTGAAAAAAATAAATACAGGAATCTATTTCACAATTTAGCGAATTCCGAGTAAACTTTAAGGTATCCTGAGGAAATTCTCTTTGCCAATGGTTGTGCTTCTAATATAACTTTTCTTATCTTACCATTATGCCGATAAATTCTTCTCCGGCCGTTTCACAAATGCAGAAAAATTTAATGATTCTACAGACAAAAATAATAACACATTCTTAAAAACAGGTTTTAATTTTTAGAAGCTTTTTTTACTGATTTTTTTAAAAAAATGAGCTCGCATAGTAATTCATAAATATGCTAGCATTTTTATTCATAATCTTTTTTTTTTTTTTTAAGAATGCGTGAATTTAGTTCACGATTCTAGTGAGTTCCGAGTATCTCCTGGAGAATATTATCCTGAAGAAATGACACCATCGCTTTGCCAATGGTTGTGCTATCGATATAATTACTCTTATGCAGCAATCATGGCCGACAAATTTTGCCTTTGCAGCTACACAAACTACGGTAAGTAAGTTTAATATTTTTCACACGTTTTTATAAATGAAATAACATCTCTTTTGAGCATTTAGGTTTTAATTCAAATGAAAAAGTAAGAAGAAATTTGAATTTTCTTATAGGTAATTTGTATTGATTACAGCGTTTAATTAAAAAAAAAAGCAATTATAAAACCTTAGACATGTGTTCGACACATTTTCATATCAATCCTGAAAATTTTAGAGAATTTAATGCAAGTCTGCACTTTCTGCTTTCTGTGCTGTTATAAAATTTTAAAAACAAGTTTTTAGTCATCGTTTAACAATTTGTTTAATTTAATTACGTTTTAAATTTCTTGTACTGTAATACTGTACAAATAATTAGATCCTTTTCAGAAATATGAATTTATTAATTAAAGAATTCAAAGTTTGAAAGGAATTGTGAAATTTTTAAAGATATAAAAATTTTAAAATTTCTTTTATTTTTTAATCTTTTGTTTTTGTTCGGGAACTGTTCAATCGATTCAGTAACTTAAAATATCGTCTGCACTTTTTAATAAAGATGTCTAAGCTGACGTCACTTCACTTACCAGCCCACAGGTGATTCATCAATGATCAATCAGTTAGATAGCAACCAATAAGAATACGTTTCTATTGGGATGAGAATACCTATCACCCAATAGGAATAGCGCAAACAGCTAGTTGCCATTTAGAGCAACACAATTACGGCAATTGATTGATTAATAGAGATGTCCAAGCTAAAGGCTGAACTATATCACTAAGTAGAGTAAATCAATCAAATGTCGTTTGCAGCATTTCTATTGGACGATATATCTTTCCATCCCAATAGAGACGTATTCCTATCGGTTACTATCTGTCACTGATTGATCATTGATGGGTTGCCAATGAGGACAGACAACTTAGTGGACAGACAACGGAGTGGCATCAACTTAGACATCTCTATTCCACTCAAAGATGCAGTACAGCCTCTGGCTTGGCCATCTTTATTTAGATATGGCATCTTTGAACAATAAGATTACTCCTTAACACTTTATTCAGATGGGCTTTAACATCTCTGGGTACATCCGATGGGGAATTCAGATGGGGAACATCCTTTGAAGAATAAGATTATTCCTCAACACGCGAAAATCCGAAGACTTGATTTAATTCTGATGATACATTATTTTATAAGATTCTTTCACTAAAAACAAACTAGTTGTTCAATTTCTTCTTTCTCACTAAAGTATGGTAGAAACCTTTATAGAAACTACAAGTTGTTACAAAACAATTTAATATTTCCCAAGGGTAATAAAGTTGCACTGAGGCACCAAGATAATAATATCGCATAGTTGGATCGCATTCTTCACATGAAGCTCTGAATAGTATTTTAATAATAAATTCTCCACAATCACCACTAGACATTTCATTACATTAATGAAGGTAGAATTCGACGAGAGTAACGTGTAAACATTAAGCCTTGTTTTCTAAAGATATTTCATCATGCTAAGATTAAAACGTTGCATTTATTCGCAACACATAATATTGTCTCTTTAACTGTCTTTTTCGAAACATTTCTTTCCAACGAATTCTGGATGAAACTTATAAGACTGTTCTTTAAGGCTTTATTGCTAAATGGAATAACGTTATTTTTATAGCTTTTGTGACTTTATAAGAGTTATTACTAGTTAAAATTTATTCATCTTAAAAAAGCACCCTCTTGGCTAATTTCAAAAATGGCGCAAATTGTTTTTTTAAATTTCCAATGCAGCAGGCGCTACAGCCATTATCCTAGCGCCGTACAGAGATCAAAAGAAAAGAAAAATACAAATACAGAGAGAGATGAAATATACAAAATACAAAAATAAAAGCAAAACATCAAACACAAAAAATTGTTAAAAGGAAAAAACGCCACAGTTTAGTGAAGATGTAAAGCGTTTGTGATATCATTCTTTAACGTTTGAAAAAGTTGCTCTAACGCTGCTTTTGTTTATTTGACTCGTAAAAATTTAATAATTCTTTTTAAAAAATAGTTCAAGTAATTTCTCTGTTTTAAAGTCCAGACAGTTCTTTTTAACAACATAATATGAATGATTTAAAATTAAACTTCTTAATTTGGGTTTTGACACTCTGTGACTTTTTTATTTTACTTGGCGAGCGCGCTAAGAAGAATGCTTTCAAAAGTCTCATTTAAACAGCTTGTCATTTTTTTAGGAAACAAATATGCTGGTTAAACAGGAACAAAATCATATTTTTTACCTTTTAAATCATGTTTTTTTTTAACACGTTATCTAATTTTAATTAGGTTACGCCTTATAGAATGAAACTTAAATGATTACCAAAGGAAATATGCGCTATATTACTGCCGACAATTTGAAATAGAGCATTTAAAATTATTAACACTACATTTGCAAAGATAAAAATTTTATCTTTCTTCATATTAACGCAAAAAATCATTTTTAAACTGAAGTCACACTGATACACGGAATGAATTAAGGTCTGGAAGTTCATTGAAAGTAGTGCACATTTAGACAATTCATCTTCAAACAATTTTGTGTTGATGACTGAAAACTGCAAATCAAAAAGTTCGTTTGATCGTTCATTGATTTTTTTTATATAAAATTTTAAACTCGAAACAGTTATTTATCTTTTTTTTCTTTTTTTTTTTATCGGTAAGACGGTTTAAATAGCCACTTAACCCTTCGACGAAGAATTTTCATTAAACATATTTTTCATACTTGTTTTCATTATTTTATATTAAATTAGGTCAAAATAAGTGAAAAATATTATGTTTAGTACTTCAATAATTTATGGTTATGAAATATGGCATGAAACGCTGATTTCTCTTTGCGCGTTAAGGGTAAAAACTTTCCAAAAATGTTTTCAAATTTGCAGTTGTTTAGAACTAAGGGAAACAGTTATTTAAAGTTGAAATTTCTTTAATTTTCAAAGTCAATTATTGATAAATTTCTGAATATGAATGAAAAAAATGTCGAACTTTTTTTCTGAATTTATATTTAAGTACAAATATATTTTTGATAATCTAACTATTTTAATAACTATTAGACAATTTGATATTTAATAAATAAAAAAAAAATAACAATTTTAAAGACAAAACTTAACTCCTTATTTATAGCTAACTTCCTTAATGAATGGAGTAAAAATTTCATAATTCCTTGCAATAGCTTTGAATTAAGAATTAACCACGGTGTTTCACGAAACAGTTAAGTTTTTAAAGTATCGATGATTGTTTTAGTTGTAAAAGTTAATGCACTGCCATCATTACATAAACTTTATAATCATAGGCTATCGTCAGACTATAGTACACTACCTAGACATAGAATTTATAACCATAGACCATCTACTATCACGGAGTACACAATCTTCATTCATTTTGTCCCCGAATTTCAGACTTTCATCTCACTAGTACCACCATATATATCTTTATATTTATCTACCAGATAGCAGCGCAAATTCAATTTGTATCTAGTTTGAGGACAGTACTCAGTTGCTTCTAGTTCCACAAACCTCTCTTTGACTTCAAGAAGAAAAAAAATTCATAAATTAACAGAACTGTATTGGAATAGTTTCACAGCAATTATTTAAACCCTCTCAACTTTATTATTCCTTGCTCCATTGAAGAAGATTGCATTGATAGTTCATAAAGCTACTCAGTACATGAAAGGGTAGATGTACACTTTATCTGAGACACATAACGTACTATCTGCTCATTGACGGGTTGGGTTGTAAATTCTGTCTTTGCAGTGTGTGCACTTGAGATTTTATGGTCGAAATATTTATTTGATGCTTAAATATGTTTTCTTATGTGGAATAGATTATCCAGAAGTAGATGGCAAGTGTTGCCCTCCTTCTTCTGAGGATTGTGGTGATGATCCTGACACTGTTAAAGCAATGGAAGTAGATGATCCACCAGAAATATATGTGGAATTAAAAATCGAGATTAAGAATTTGGGTAATTTTTGATTTTTTATAATAACGAAGAAAGTTAAGCATATTTCTTAAATAATGCTAATATATGACAGAGAATCTATATTGGATTTGATGTAAAATAGACAAATACTTTACTACATATTTTTGCTCGAGTACATTGCGTCGAAAATTTTGCGATCCCAGATCTATTAAAAGGTATAAAATTTTACAATTAAATGTTTCTTCTTCATCATTTTCAACGGTCTCAAGTACTAGTCTCTCCCTTTTTCTTGTTATGTATACTCATGTGAGGGTCACACGAGAAGAGGGGAGCCGAAATTCAGCTGGACATCTTTATTTTGAGCACTGCTTTGACTGCTGGGCCTAAATTCATTTCTGATTTTTCCAGCACTGTCAATAACCTTTTGCAACCTTCATTCAAAGTTGTTACAGCTAAATTAGTTGAAATTTCAACAATTTGTACTACTATTAATTCTTTTTCGCAAGTAATTTAAACAAATTATTTCAATAAATTTGTTAAAATGATAGTATTTATCTGAAATATTTTGAATGTGAAATATTTTACATATAAAGTGATCAAATCCATTAATAAACAGACCGTGCCAGTTCACTTGTTCTTATATGTCACAGTGTGCGCCGTGTCGCGCTCAACGTATTACACTCTAATTTTTGCATTTTTTTAAAAAAAGAAATTCAAGAATTTTGGTGCAATAATTAGCAATAATAACTATTAAAAATGCAATAATTTTTCTTTGCATTTTGTGAAAAGTTTACTGCGTTGCACCCCCTTAAAAGAAAAATCAAAGTTGGGTTTCTATTAACATTTCACTAAGTGCTAAAAATTACTAACAAAATAAGTTTCATACACTGTAAAAATATTTTGGAGAATAGTTGCCACCGTTTTTGATAATGTTCATCAAACTAAATGCATTTTAAAGTACAGATTCATTATCGTTAAAAAAATCCTATGAAATTGACAAAATAACAATTATTTGAAAAAAATTCACGAGATTATATTACATGAAAATGAGCTTTTTTTTTAAATGAAAGGTTTCTAAAATGAAACCATTTAATTTATTCTAATGCGCTGGGAAATATGAGTAGTCAGTAAAAAGTAAAACAAAAATAACGTTAAAAAACTGATTAAAACCGTAACTGTGAGAAAGTAAATATAAAATGTGACTACGTACACTGTAAAAACATTTTAAAACTTCAACACCAAAAATGATGTCAACTATGCACCATAAGTTTTACTGTATTGCATTAGGGCTCATTTTGTATAAAATTACGATAACGAGCATTTATCCTATTACTTTAAATGGAATATTTTTTTCAGCCTGTTTCGTATTAGTCCCATTAATTTGATTATCACATTGTTTTTCTAATTACATTTAAATTTTCTTTCAACTTCGGAATAAAAGTGTAGTTAACTAATTTAACAATATCCAGTATACGAATGGTGAAAAAATTTTGGCAGGCTGTTTTTTGTTTTCGAAACCTGCTTATTTTATTCACACCTAGTTTCAAAACTAGTTGTAAAGTTCATCAACAGTTGAGCAACTAACTGAGAACACAGTGAAACATAGTTTTAAAAATAATCACATTTCGCATTAAAAAAGTGTTGCAGTTTGAACAAACAATCACTCATAGGACTATTTTTGTTTTAATGATCTCATACAATACACAATAGAAAACTTTTTTTTTTTTTTTAATAACGGCAGGTACTGAATTTTCGTTCTTCGCTTTAGAAGATACCGGAAGTGTTGCTCATTTATCGTTACCCAGTGGGCACCTGTGAACCAAAGTCACGGAGGCGAGCAACATTACCCACGCCACAGTGCCACAAATACCCGTTCATAGGGTGGGCCACATTTATACATTCACAAATCAGATGACAACACACAGAGAGAGAGAAACATCCATGCCCAGAGCGGGATTCGAACCCGCAGCCATTGGCTTCGCAGTCAGGCACGCTAACCACTCGGCTACCTGGCCGGCGAAAACATTATTTTCTAGTTTTTGTTACGAAACAAAACGTGCTAAAAATAAATATCGTTTTTGTAGCGAGCATTTCAAAACTAATTAAAAAAAGTCATTCTTTGTACTAAGATTTTATGCTATTCTTGATAAAAATGTACTGTATGCTTTAATTAAAAATATACAGGGTTATTCATAATTCCCTCCGGGCAGAGTCCCGCAGTGGACTGATCGTTAAGACACGGTTCCCAGCAGATCACCGAAGTCAAGCATCACTGGCTGCGGTCAGTGTGCGGGTGGGTGACCACTTGGATCAGTCTGCGTAGGGATCGAGGGTGTGCGGTATTGGTCCTCGTTAAACTGTGCTACCGTAAAGTGCTCGACTTCGCGCGCAGGTCGTCGGGCTACCGAAGCGGGGGTGCCATCCCCTCTGCAGAGGATCAAAATTGTGATGGCATGTCTTCGGATCATCCTCAGGGATGTTTCCCAGATCGTCGCCAATAGCCCATTGTGCAGCTCACGTAAATAAACTACAACAACAACAATCCCTCCGGGCAGAAGCTGGTCTATCGCATTGATGTATGCTGTGTGACTAAGGGTTCACACATAGAACACCTGTAATGTATGTAAGTAAAACTTGAATAGTTTCGGAATAATTTCATATGTTTCTTTTTTTCATATTCGTCTTCTTTTTTTTACTATAACGCTTCGAAACCCCGGAAGGAATTATGAATAACTCTGTATGTATTGGCATATAGGGTAAACTAACCAGTGAAGGAACACTTAAACTTTCTTGCCTTTTAAAAAATCATATTAATTTCAAAATTCGTAATTTTAGTTAAATGACAGTGTCAACATATTTGCTACTAATTGCAAATTATGTAAAAAAGTTGCAGAGAACTTACCTAATATTGTTTTAAAGTTTCGGAGGTTCAAATAACAAGTAGTAAGAAGACCAAGTGAAGGAACAGCTCTTACCAGTGAAGGAACACAAAATTTCCCAGTAAATGAACACTTAATTTTGGTTATTTTTTAATGCTCTTTATGAATTTATATGCCATACAAATATCTAAAAACAAGCCTATTCTTGAAATTATAACATATAAATACTTGGAAAATGTTAACTTTTTTTTGTAAACATGAATTGAAAAGTAAAGTGTCAGCATATTAAAACATATGTTCATTCACTGGGAAATCTATTCCCAGTAAAGGAACATGCCTGTTCCTTCACTGGTTAGAAGTTGTTTTTTGTATTTTTAACATTCTTTTGATGCAAAACGTCACTAAAGGTACAAGAAAATTAAAGTTTTTCTTTCATTTTCGTTAACTTAGAAAAAACCCAGTAAAGGAACACTTGTTCCTTCACTGGTTTTTCATCGTTCGGTGATCCAGTGAATAAACACCCCCTTATCTCAGTACTTGATTATGCTATGATGCTTTAAAAAAATAAAACGTAACTTCAATAACTATATTTTGAATTCTTATTTTCACAGTGAGAAAAATAAAACTATCACATGCAATTAATTCCACTACAAACATTTAAATACAAACACTCACCTTATAATTTTTTCGAAGAAACAAGGTGTTGCAGAGATAATAACAAATTCAAAATTTTTTCCAGAGAAGTCTATTTGACCAGGTAATCCAAAATATTGCTAGATGACTTCCTATTGTTTGGCAGTAAGCTAATTGTTACCAATCAATCCAAAGAAAAAGTTTCAAATTCTTATTCTTAATCAATATATATGAAATGTTCCCTCACTGGTTGATTTACCCTATATAACATTTAGATAGTATAATTTTGCATTTACAAAGATCGATGCTTTAGGGTTCCTTACAGTTGCTGTAAATTATGAAGCTACAGTGAAATCAAATGTGCTGGCAACTCTGCATCTTTATTACGATGGTGAGGAGATTGTTGAGCCAGAGACAGGATCAATTCCGGAATTTAAGAAGATATACGTGTTTCTGAATTGTAAACTTCCTGGAAGACACATGGCTAAGGCTGTCGCAATAGATATGGCTACGGTAAACTTCAATGCAGTTATTTGCAATTTAGAAAGTAAATTAATGACATAATATTTTTTTTTGTTTCCTCTTTCTCTTCCCGTTTCTTTTTTAGTATTAATTTATAGTGAAGTTTCATTTTTTCTTGTATTTCTTTTTAAGTTATAATCACAAACGCCATTGAATTGGAATTAAATCGAATGCAGTTAGCATTCTCGACAATGCAGTTAGCATATCGACAGGAAGAGGACAGTTTATTTTACAGAGTTTGAGTAGAACATATGCGAACGTAAAGGATAATACGAGACAAAATCTCCCAATTTTTATGGTCAAATTTCTAAGATGTTACAGGATGATTTTCAAATTTGAAGCATTACAAAATCGTATTAAAATTTAAATTCATCGTTGTTGGCGTTTAACACTGATTTTTGTATATGTCTAGAGAATGCTTAAATAGCTCGCATCAAGATTTAATTAAAATATTGCCTAGTGGGGATCTTAGAATCCCTCATTTAATTGGAAAAAATACAGTAACAATCAATAGACCGGACAATTTTACATAATTAAATATTTTTTACTACCTTGTGCAAACTTTTTAGGCCTAAGACTTCATGGCTCAAATATGGCTCACAGACTTACTTTTTATGTGACTGGCAGTTCATGAAGATTTACTAATTAACTTTAAAAAGTTGCTTCTAGAGCGGACAACACAAAACAATACCTTAAAATTAAGCTTCATCTCAAGGTTATGTTTTAAAATTATTATTGCCACATACTGAATAGCGGAAGCAATATTAACAAAGGATAGTATCCACTGAGAAATTTTAAAATGATTATCTTAGGTAGCAGATCACACATTTCTCTTGGACAACCCTAAACAATATGTACCAAGATATTTTAAAAACAACTCAAAAACATCTTCTGGATTTATTATAAAATGAGTACTTTTTAAAATGCATAAGTGTTTTATAGCTGGCGTTGAACATCCGACCCAATTCTGAGTTTACGAGAGTCATTTTCGCTTCTGTAACCTTGTAATTTTAAGCCCAAGCCAGATGACAAGGAAATCCTGGATCAAGCATTGGGACAAACTAACCTTTGTGGAAAACTTTTTAAAGGAACTTACCCGCATTTGGGCTACATGGAGCGGAAAACCACGAATTCTCCTATGTTTAGCGTGGTGACAAGGAGATTCTAACCCATGAACCGTGTACCACTGATGATAATTTATACCAGCACTGTAGGCGATGCAAGCCGGGAGCAGAATTTGTATCAATCAACCACCTCTGGGTTTCGAACAAAGGTCATCTCATAGGGAGGCGAACGCTTAATCACCTTTGGTACTGAGACTCTACATAAGTATTTTGAAGTTATTTTACACATTGAAAATTGATAAAATATAAAAAAGAAATCTGTTTTTGTCTGTTTGGACAACCGATTTTACAGGATTTCTCTTCAGTAAAATTTTACAGGAAATAAAACGTTTGACAAATACTTATGATATCATTAATAATAACTCTGAATCGCATGTATTTCTGGAATTCACAGCATCTAAGCATACAGGTTATTTTGTTCCATAATAAAAAATAACCTTTTGTCGGACATCCAAAAGGCCTCAAGTTTGAAATTCTCACTTCTATTACCTACGCAATTTATTTACGACGCCATTACAACACATATTTCTGCAATCGTTAATCAAGCTAGGGATTAACTTATTAATTGTAGAAATCAAAAATGATTTTTTTTATAAAGTTATATTTGAATTAAAAATTTGGTTTGATTTCAGGAAATGATTGTAGCCTCTGATGAACAAGAAATTTTTATACCGGATATGGAGATCACATTTAATCTTGATTGCCCCGACTACGTTTACCTTGGAGAGGACGTTACATGCAATGTAACTTTCATCCGTGGTACTGATCTTCATTTTGAAATACAATTTGGCACAGAATCTTCCGAGAGTTTTATTGTACCAGGTAAAATAAGTAGATGATATATACTTGCATGAATACCTCACACACGGTTATAAAAAATATTGTGTACTATTTAAAAATATAATATTTTACATTCTATAACCGACGTTAAACACAAACCAGGCTCTGGGTTAACCACAATCAATGTTCAGCTCCATAGCGTTGTAATTTTGAACCCAACCCAGAAGACAAAAAGAACTCCTGTATCAAGCATTGGGACAAACTATGTTTCGTGGTTGACTTTTTGGTGAAACTAACCCACATTTGCTTTACACGGAGAGGAAAACCACGAAAAACTCCTACTAGTTGTCAAGAGGATTCTAACCCATGATCCGCTTATCATTGAGGACTTTTCACGTCAGCACTGTGGTCGGTGAGAGTCAAGGACAGAATTTGTTACAACTAGACACAGCTGGGATTCGAACCTGGGGCACCTCATTGGGAGGCGAGAGATAAATAAAAAATAATAGGGGAGAACCAATTTAGCAATGCAATTGAGAGACTAAGTCGTCACCGGGAAAAACCAAAGTTCTATTTTGGGTGACGATTTGTAGCCTTCTAACTTTTAGATCGATGCCAGTTAGTTTGGATGTAAAGGCGGCTGGAGTGCAATGCTTAGCACATTTATCTCATGCTGTTGGTTTAGAAATTCGAAATAAATAATACCTCCACGACTCCAGTGGCCGTCATTTGGAGGGTGAAAAAAGGGATATATTTTTAATAAACAAAGGGGAAGAAATGAAAATGATTATCGATAAATTTCGTCATTGAGCTTTTGCTAGTGCGAGATTGCACAATTTTTAGTAATAGGAAAGTGAATTCCGAACTTTTAGATAATTTTTATAAGCTTAGATATAAATTAATTTCACTGGATATCTAACACTAAGTTTACTAAAAAATTTGTTACAAAGAAATATTTTTAATAACTATTACTAATAAAAAAACAAATATGTGTATAGGGATATCAAAGTAATATTTAAACAAAAATAAAAATAGAAACGCTATCGAAATCTGTTCAATTGCTATAGAGAAAGGTGTGACTGAAAATATGCAAACCTGTTTGATTATCGTAGAAAACAGACAGAAGATGAAAAGTGATAGCATGCAACACTTCAAAGCTTCATCAATGCACTCAAACTGGTTTTGATGTACTTTCAATGGGCACTTTCTTCACAAGTAGTACGATAGACTTCAATTTGTTTCTTCCTCGTTTAGATAATAACTTTTGATTTTTGTTGAAATCAACCTTGCAGTCTTTAACTGGCTCTCATGGGAAGAGACTATGAAGCTATTAGTGAATGCTTTGAATCGATTGATTAAATTACGAAGATGAAAGTAAAATACTGCACCAGAAGTTAATTTTGTCACTAAAGTGGATCTTAAATTGCAATAGCGACTTTTTTTAAACAAATTAGTCTTCTATATATGACTTACAGCTTACAGACATGCTCTCTCTCTCTTAGACCAATGTCCATCACCTCCAGTGACAAGCTTTTCTATTTTTCCTCCTTTATTTCTCTCTTCTGTTTTTAAATATCACGCTGACTTTGATCATCTTCTGCTGCTGTTGTAAAATTTTCATGTTCTACTAACAGAACTTTCAACGGATTCTTCACTATAATCTATACGGTAATCTATACAGACTTCTAATGTGTATATTTTTTTGCTACATTTTTACAAAGGTTACATTTTATTTTATTTTATAACCATCGTTGAACAGCTGACTTAATTTCTGATTTTACAACTTCGAATGTTTAACTCCGTAGTCTTGAAATTCCCAATCCAGAAAACAACGGAAATCCCGGATCAAGTATTGGGTGAAATCTGTCTCCGTTGAGGACTTTTCGAAAATGGTTAGAAAAGTATATAGAGAAAATTACAAAAACAGATCAACCTAGCTTAAAGCAAAAATATTTTTTCCAGCCTCTACAACAACGCCAAGTCAGTTTGACTAACGTCAGCAAATCGAATGGTATAGAGTTGTCTAAGCTGACGTCGCTTGACTTACCTGTCTATTGGTAATTCAGCAATGATCTGTTACAATTAACAACCACTATGAATAACTTTCTATTGGGATATAAATATGAATTGTCCAATTGGAATGGCGCATACAAAAATTGATTTATTTATTTCACTCAGTGATATAGTTCAGTAAATGGCTTGGATATCTCTCTAAATCTTTTACTTAAAACCCAAAACAACATCTTTACATGAAATTAAAATGATTAACGTATACAATTTTTTCGCATATGCATCGTTGAAGTTTTCTGGGAATTTATAGTTGTGGGGTCCACAATCAAGGCATTTTTGATGTCTCTTGTCCATAGCATCAAAACAGCTGTTTGAAATTGATTTTTGTTTTAAGTTTTCTTGTAATGTTATATAGTTTTATATATTCCAGGAAAAATATCACTCATCTATTTTGATATTTTGTCCCGAATTCGCAAATTTTTTTAAGTAAAATTTTGATTTGTTTTATTTATTTTTTCTTTTACAGATTGTGTAATTTTACCGATTGGACCATCTATACCGCAGATACCAAAACCATCAACCTCGAACAGAGATGTTGATCCACCAGACATAATTTATCTGGGTCTTGGCAATCTTCCTTACTCTACACTGATAGGTTTTGATTTTTTTGCAACTCAGAAGGGAAAATTCGAAGTACAGGTAAAGTTTTACTTTGCTTCGTATTGTTATTATTATCTTGCTTTCATGTCTGTGAGTAAGGAATCTAGCAATCGAAATATCGACAACTTTCCAATTAGCTAGAGCATTTAAATTTCTACCGAAGTTTTCTGTATCTGAAGAAATTTTAAATTGCATCATGGACGTTTATGTAGAATTCGTAACTATATTACCGCCACTGCATCATGAATTCGATTATTTTACTCTTAACTAAATTACTCAGATGTCTACTAGAACTTTATGATTGATAGCAATGCAAGTTTCCATCGTTTAATGAACATTATAAGCATAATGCATAAGCCATGTTTTTTTCCTCATAATATTGTTCATCAATCAACTTTCGATTCCCTTCCGACTAGCTAGTGAGCTCAAACTTTCATAATTGCTTTGTGCTGAATTATAATTACAAATTTTAAGCGTTTTCCAACCATTGCAAGCATAACTTATATAGCCGAGTAGAATTTATCATCAATCGACATTTTGACTTGCTAGAGTGCTCAAATTATACAAATTATCGTTGTTTTCTAAGTGGGGCAAGCAAAATCTATCACCATTTAATTCAAAATTTCGTCTACTTTCCGATATGAATAAACTTGCAAACTTAAAACTAGGAAAAGGAAAATAATAAAAGGGAAAAAAATTGAGATAGACTGAAAACTAGAAAAAATGCTTAGAATTATCTATTTTCTATCCTTTACTCAATGGAAGAGAATAGCCAACGTAATTTATAGTATATGAATGATCTGAGATGGTCCGGTCGAACTGAAGTTCGACCCCCCAGTGGTGGCTTGATACCCACCCATCTTCAGATCGATGGGTAGCATCTTGTCTGGGAAGTAGAGGCGACCTGTGAGCAATACTGACCCCATTGCCGCAGTTATGCCGTTGGTCACGTAACTGTCGAACCTTGACCTCTAGAACTCCCCTGGTCCACAACTGATTCTGTTGCGGGAATTCTAAAATAAATAAGTAAAATGAAATAAAAAGTATGAATGCTGATCTAGTCAGTTTAATTTGTTAAATAGAAGTTAACTTGGTAAAACTACCGATCCCCAGGACATTACCTCTGATCTCTCTTTACTTATAAATTTTAAAAATCAACTCTAGGTACTCACTCAATTACAGACAAGCTTCTAGATCTGTTTTTCAGATGGTCTTAGCAGATGATCATTCAGATGGCTCTTAATGGCCATAGTAGGAATGTCACGTCATTTTTACCCTCATTAGATGATATGTACACAGCACCTGAAATAATTACCTTTTCTTTAAACCACCACACTTCACCAATAATTTGATTTTCAGTCACAACAACTTTTCTGTGCACTTTTTTTGTATAAACTCCAAATGTTTAGTACGTTGCCAGGATCGAACTCACGATTCCCAGATCTTCACCAATGTGAGTGACGCTGAGGGCTGGGATGTCCTGGCTGGCAGGGCGTTGGACCCATGTCCTAGAGGTAGTGAATTGGACACCCACCGGCCGAAGACTCCCCTTGTACAAAATGGTGACTGGTGCACCCTAAAGCCGTCGAGATCACAAAGTTCTCTAAGTTCCCAAAACAAATCAACACCTTTGGGTATACTAGATCGGAAATTGATCGTGTTTTGGTTCAGGTCAAAATTAAGATCTATGGATGAATGGATGGTGTGTGAATGTGTTTTCCCTGTAAAACGGGATGTGACGTATGTATGCTGTCTCCAGATCATCCTCAGGGATGTTTTCCAGACCATCGCCAGTAGCCCACTATGAAGCTCAAGTGCGATGTAAATAAAAGTATCGTACCATGAGTGACTCTGCAGCCAATTGTGTTGCCGAAGCGTCTCCAGGTACGACAGTTATATGAAGCTGACCAATGTCCTCAAACCCCAATATATATATATATATATATATAAAA